ATGGAACAGCAGTCACTGGGGGTGTGTGTGTGTGGGGGGGTATTTGTGAATTTCCTGCCTTGTGCAGGGGGTTGGACTAGATGACCCTGGGGGTCCCTTCCAACTCTGTGATTCTACAATTCTATGCGATAAAAATTTAGCAGTCCAAATCCTTAAATCTACTAGAGCAGCCACATAATAAGATGTCTGCACGCAGAACAGCTATCAGTGGTGTTTGTTTATTTCATGGTTGTCCTCCTATTTCTCCAAGGAATCCCTGTTTCAGTCTCACAACAGCCCTGTAAGGTATGTTAGACCGCGGGAGAATGAGTGCCCCACCATCGCCCGGTGGGTTTGAACTAAGTATCTTTCTCCATTGCCCAACTCCATAGCCACATTGGGAGATAAACCAGTGTCTAGCTCGCCCTTCCCCACACACCTGTAGGTATCAGTGAGATGTTACACCACCGGAGCGCTACCTGACCAGGGACGGAAGAGACCGATAGGGAGCAGGTAGTCTTCAGCCTTCCCCCGTGCAATTTATCCCCTCCCCAAAAGGGATGGATGAAGTACATAAGTTGGACGTGAGGTTATTCTGCATATGCCGTGGAGGTGCTTATACCTGTGGGGCGCATGATAGATATGCAGAGAGGACATGAGCACTATGCTTCCTCACATGGAGGCCTTTGATGCTGGGGTCATGCGCAAATCATCCAGTCACATTTTTTTAAGAGCATGGCTATAGTGCCGCCTGTCTATTTATGTATTTATTTTAATGTATATGTAGCCCGCCCTTCCCCGCAAGTGGGCTCACGGCAGGTAACAACATAACAAAGGTCAAGGAAAAGGTTTCCCTTGCTCAAAACAGTGGCTCAGTGGCTAAGATGCTGAGCTGCAGACCGGAAGTCCTGTGGCTCGGCAGTTCGAACAACATAATGGCAGTACAAGAAATATAATCAAAATACAAAAGCGCAACATTGAAATTGGTGGTCCCAACCCAAGGGCAGAAGTTGGCTGGTTGCGAGGGGCCCCTGGCCTGCTGGTGCGGAAGGATATAGCCAGCTATTATGGGAAGGGAGACAGAATCCTCAGGGAGAGGCCATATGTGGACCTCTGCCGCCTCTGCCGAAGCCCTGGTGGAACAGTTCTGTCTTACTGGCGGATCATACCAGATATGATTGAGATTGGTGTGTCACGTCCCATTCTCATCCAGTCAGGTGTCCTTCACAGATCCTGGGGACTATTTAAGGTAAAGGTAAAGGTTCCCTTGCTCGAAAGCCAGTCGAGTCCGACTCTAGGGTTGCGGTGCTCATCTTCGTTTCAAAGCCGAAGAGCCAGCACTGTCCGAAGACGTTTCTGTGGTCATGTGGCCGGCATGACTAAACACCGAGGCGCACGGAACGCTGTTACCTTTCCACCGAAGTGGTACCTATTTATCTACTTGCAATTTCTTGCTTTCGAATTGCTAAGTGGGCAGGAGCTGGAACTAGAGACGGGAGCTCACTCCATCATGCGGCACACCCGGGTCTCGAACTGCTGAACTACTGACCTTCCACAGCCTGCAGTTCAGCGTCTTAACCACTTGAGCCACCGCAGCTCCTGGT